ATCCTCTGATGATGAATCCCACATAATTGTAAGAGAATCTTACATCCCCCGGTTGGGTGTATTTACTTTAAAACGCGAAAAACATGCAAACGCCAACAATAGGCTTGAAAAAACAAAAAAGCACTGGGAGACGGTTAACGGTAAAAAATAACTAGAAACGTCCTCTAACACAAAAAAAAGAGTAATTGGTGATGAACTAACCCACAAGTGGCTAAAAATGACTATAGTCGATGGGTTGAGGGCTACTCTCCGGTGGGTCACAGAAACTCTGACAACTTGCTTTTCAAATTATATTCAAAATTTATCTGATGTTAACTTAATTCTGAGATAATCCAAACTGAGTTTCAATAACAACCTGCTTCAAAATCATTCATGGATTTTCGATGCAATTTTTATGATAAATGGGTTTCATGGGTTAAATGGCATTTTGGCATTTCAATGCCGGTTTAGAAAGTCTGGGCCATCTTGACTTTTTCGAGCATTTTCTGGCATTATGAAAGAGGCTGTTTTAGTGGTTTTAATTTAATTTTGGTGTTTTTACAGCTTTTCGTTTTGATCTGCTTTCCTATTTAGTTTTTACTGATTTGTTATTTTGAATCTAAGCATGCGGTCCAATTGCTCTTTCGTTAAATTTTTACATCATTTTCGCACATTTAAGGTCGATTTTTGACTGATTTTGCGTTTCAGCGCAATTTTGTCTTCCTCAAAAATGCCTTCAAAACATTAGAAAAGAATTCGAATGGCGTTGAAGCAGCTTCTTCAGAGCCATTCGAATCCTTTTCTAATGTTTTGAAGGCATTTAGGCCCTAAAAAATCTGTATTCAATATTATTGGGTCGTATGGGATTCCTTAAAGTGGGTCGCAAGTGATTTGAGAACCACTGGCTTAGAGGGAACCCTGGAAAGATGTTTTGAAATTAACTTTTAATACATTGATTTCTTGCAAATGATTCATTCTAGACACTTTTAGAACTATTCTGCCGGCAATCGCAAGTCAGTCCCATCTGCATTTTTATCAATTTTGAGTTAGCATCATTATTCAGTTTTTCTTTCTATGTTTTTTGAAATGTGCTATACGCCTTTTTAATAGAAACTAAGCGATCGATTCAACCTCTGGTGGTGAATATGAGAACGCCAAAAAGAGTGTTGTGAGCAGAATTTTTTTCCGAGAGACATTGGAAGCGGAACACTTTTTCACTTTTCCTGATAAATTGATTCATCTGAGATGCTTGAAAACTTGATCTATAGTTGAAAAATTTAATTCTGTATCGTTTTTGCAAGGATTCTGCTAGTTTACAGGAATATTTTTGTAGAGAAAAATGCAAAATTCCAATGGTGGCTTAGTGGTTATGATCTTCCGGATTTTATGTATGTGAATAGTTTAGGTGCAAATCAGTTCAGATGTGTGGAAAATCGTAAAATAAGACAATTACTGATGGAAATTGGCAAGATGTACAATGAAAAATGCTTTAATTTGCGTTGTGGAAAATCCTTATTCTGATGTAAATAAACAGTTTGGTTGACGTTTCCTATCGAACTCGCGTGGTGCCCTCTACGTTGGTGGTGCATTAAAAAGGCCTATTGAAAAAAGGTGGTTTGTTCAAGAAAAATGAAAAACAATACCAAGTCAAATTGTCCCACAGCGAAAAATAACCGCAAGTCAGTCCCATTAGAAAAACATTTGTTAGAAATGTTAGACAACACGTCGCATCATGAGATTTGCCTCAAGACGGATTTTGTCCACTTGCCCTAGGGTATCTGGAACATGTCCGGATGTGGCCAGTGTAGTTCTTACGATACTCAGTTTGACAGTTTCTCATGTGATTTGATGTATCGCTTGATGGATTTTGATTTAAAAATGATTTACCACTTCCCTTCCCTTAGCTCAGTCGGTAAAGCCGCAGCTACAAAGCAAGACCATGCTGGAGGTGGCTGGGTTCAATTCCCGGTCCGGCCTAAGAATTTTTCGGGGCATAGAAGTATGATTGGACTTGCCACACAATTATACCAATGCAAAAATGGTACAGGCATCGAAAGCTCTCAATTAATAACTGTGGAAGTGCATCTAGAACACTAAGTTGAGAGCACGCAATAAGTTTTTTTTCTCTGTTCGGGACCTAACACTACTGCTTACTTGATCTATTGTAGTATATCCCGTGTCCTTAGATAAGTGCATGTCGTATTACTCCATCACTATTGAGAAATGATGAAGTATTCGATTTTTGTACAGTTGCCACTCTTGCATTTATCGCAAGGATCCGACTCTAATTGAAAGGTTCCGCTATTTATACCCTTCGGAGTGTTGAAACACCCTCCAAAGGCGCGCCCCTTTGTCAGTCAAAATTAGATTCCTTAGCAACAAAATTAAGGAATGACACCCATAATGACCATGCATCAGAACCCTAGTCTTAACCACTTCAAACTAGGGAACAACGAATAGAAGATTAGGCATCACATAGATGAAGACAACTAACTCACTTTTACCTTTTGTTTCAAGATCATCTTCGGTAGATAAAGCCGAGTCTTGTCACTATCAACAAGACATATAAAGTAACAAGGACTAAGATGTGTTCCTTGGATTACTGAAAAATCCTGTTCACCTAGTTTGAAGTAGTCAGGACTAGGAATCGGTGGTAGATCTTAAATCCCGTAACGTACCACGAAAAGATGATCTACCCACGATACGGGGCAATACGGTGCAATAAGCTAATATGCGATATGCAATAAGCTTGAAATGCGAAGAAGAAGAAGACCACTTCCCCGGGGATATCCGGAACATGTCCGGGTGTGGCCTTCGTGGTGCTGGTCTCCCATCATGACTCTTATTGATCTTATTTTTTAATTCTCATGTGAATTGATTTATCACATTGTGGGTATGGCACGTTTCTGAAAAGCTCTGGTGTGATGAAGACCCAAACTCACCAGAATATGTTCCGGCCATTGCTCTGGAACCATCAGAACAAATCCAGAAATATTCAATAACGTTCTATGGGACCATGGTATCTTTCTACTGTTCAATACTGTGCTAAACTAATGCAGCATCGTCATGGAATTGTGACTGACTTGCGGTTATTTTTCTCATTGACGTTAAATGTAATCGCAAGCAGAGTTGCGACCTATCACAATCACGATCGCCAAACAGCTGATGGTAGTAACGCTTTGTACATTCCTATCAATGTGCTCGTCGAAGCTCTCTCCATGACCATCCATCAAGTTGACGAAAGAAGTAAAAAGCAACTGGTGATTGTCGTCTTCTGTTGTGATCCGTCACCGATCGGGTCATTCCCGACAATCACGACACTCATCTGTGCTCGTTTTGAAGCAGTTGCTGCTTTACTTGCTTATTTGAGTGTGTTGGTGAGTGAACCCAACAGCTACCGTTTCATGTTGCCTGCTTTGTTTGTAACTCACACAGTCGCGCCTGCCGAGACGAACTTGAAATGCGTAGGCATTGTTTTCATTTTCTTCTGTCGTTTCGCTTTTTCTCATGATCGTACTGCAGAAGTCTTCACTGTTTTCGTTGTGCATTTCATCATCAGCAGCGAGTGTAGCGTTTTGCTTGTGATCAGCGACCATTACTGGTGATTGTTGTTTGCCATGGCTCTAACTCTCACTGCGTGACAAAACGATCTGTCAGCGATAGTCGGTTGGTGCGAAGACGAGTGTCACGTGAGTGTCATGATATTTTGCATCACTGATCGCAAGTCCATAAAATAAAAATTTCACCAATTTTTCCAATACTTTTTGGTAAACATAAATGCATTCTATCGCATTGTACGTATTTTAAAATTCATTCCTCACAAATAAGTGTCAAATCAGAAAACTTGTAAAATATTTGAACGCCTTTTTCTCATTGCCAGTTTTTTGAAGATGGAACTGACTTGTGATTATGGACAGTATTGACGGCGCAAATTTTTAATGAAGGAACCAAGTTACTTCGTAATTTAAATGAAACTTGTTTTTAAACTCAATTACCATAGGGACGACTCCAATTGCCTAGTTTCGCTTCCGTTAAAATATTGTTAAAAAAAAATAAACAAAACTTTTCCACAACTCGCCTTACTATCTTCGGAGATTTGGGGACTGGGTAATCTAAAATCGATTGAATTTTGGTACTGTGTATTGCTAAACCATAAACGGACAACTGGTATACTAAATGGCTTATCATGTTTTGACAAAATTTAGATTTCTCCTACCTTATCGTTAGATTAGCTTTTTGTAGCCTCTCTGCATCGATTCTTAAGAAATAAAAGTGTCTCTTAAACGTAATATCGTCTACATATACATAGACGTATGGCTCTAAACTAAAGCCTGGCCATCAGATTCGTCTGAGTTGATGGAGCTCAATTGAGCCCGAAAGGAATGACTTTAAAACGAAATAACTGCTTACTCGCCGTAAACGAAGTACAGTCACGACTCGATTCTTCTATGGGAATCTGCCAATAGGCCTCTTTGAAAGATCGATTACTGTAAAGTACTTCAACCTTTCAATCCGTCCTAAAATGCATATCCACGTTGATTAATGTATTCGACGGTAATCCAATCAAAATCACCATTCTACAGAAGATTTCTCGACCGGCAATAAAAAGGATTAAATCATAAAGATAATCGAAAGGGTTGTCCGGAATGTAAATTGTGATAATATTTTTGCAATGCCATATGTTGCAACCAAAAGATCTTAAAATTTAAGAGAATGATCAGGAGCTAATTTAGAACCGATTGCACCGAGTCATTTAAAATAACCAAAAGAACTTGAAGATCTTAGCGAGTTGTCAAGAGTCAAATGTCAAGTTAGTTGAATACTACTTCAAGCTACAGAAACCTATAATTTATGTATAATTTTACGACAAGTCACATGCTGCAACCCAAACAAACAAATGCCACATAATTCAGTCAACTCCAATCCATTTCAAAGAAACTAGACAAATTGCCGATCTAGAGAGACAGGAGGCGGCAGGCATCCTAAGCCTTGAGTAAACCACACCATCCATTAGTACTCACCTTTTCCATCCCGACAGCTGATGGTCGCCTTTCTCAGCCGCAACACCCGGTGGTCGTCCATCAGCGAGAGCACGATATTGGCATTGCCCTCAGCTCGATAGGCCAGCCGGCTTTCGTGAATGAGCTCGACGACGTGTCCCTCATCAACCAGCTCATCTTTCCCACTCTCGTAGGAAGAGCTTAGCAACGCAGTTCCACCTTCAGTCACTGGCCGTTCCGGACACTTCATCGGTCGCATGCCTCGGCAGCAGATAATCCGTCCGAATTCTAGGGATGCCTCGTCGCCACTGTTGCTCTCTCCTCCCGATGACGACCCGGAGCAATCGTTTTGAGTACCACACTGGTTCCAATATTTGGCCATCGTTCGATTGAGCCGAGCGCCACTATTGTAGCAGTAGCTGCTGTAGTTGGTATTTAGCTTTCCCATGCTGGTCCCAATCGAGCACTAATCGAATTGAATTGAAATGCACTTCCAGCGGATCTGACCTCCACAGAATGGTGTCCCGTATTCGTGGTGGATCAGCTGGTACTATTGCTCGACAGTTTCGTTAGACACAATTCGCTGTCGTCACCCAACAACAACGACGGGTCGAAGAAAAACTATCACTACTAGGAACGAATGTGCTTCCAGTGTGCGATGGCGACAACCACGGTGATATCATATTTACTTAACTTTAACGTATACAACGCGTTACAGTTTCTTTCACTTGACGCATGCTGTTGTTGCTGCTACAACTAATTCATCAATTCCACGAAGTTTGTCTGGTTATGTCGGCGATGACGACGGTTCGTTAGGATGCAGGCAGCGGCGCGTGTATGTTTATCTGCAAGGAGATGGAAAACACTTTTAAACAATCACTCGAAGCGTATATGGTTTCTGAATGTGATGGTGATGCACACACGTCGCACTTTGGAAAGGAAAGGCAGATTGAGGGTGGTGGGAAAGTCCTCGTGAACAACGTGACTTTGATAAATGGGTGAAACAAAATATGTGTGATAACCGAACGACGACGACGACGACAACGAATTCTTTGATCGGGGTGTGACGAGCGAATGTGAGGTTTGTTTGTGTGTGACTAATTTTATGATTTGAAGCGCGTTTATTGGCCCTGTTATGGTGGGTTTTATTTGCCTGCGCGAAAATGAAAGGAGGAACGACAAGCTGTCATCCGGTATGGGTTTGTTTACGGTCGAAGTCATAATCTTATCAGGGGGGCCAAGTCGAAATACGGGTTTTTTTAGACAATTGCTTAGCTGGGTGTTTATTTTGTAGCATCTGCTCACCAGAGCAGGGTGGATCAATACAAAAACGGCTCAAAAAATAAAATTAAAAATTAAACTCAAACTCCAATGCACTAGCCGTATTTAGGTGGAATCAATTATGTGTGCCTAAATCATTAGTTTTAGGTATGTAGTGTGTTCGGAAAAGTTTTTTCATTTATTTTAGCTAATGTTTTGTGTTCAAGACATTAGGGTGGGCCTACGGTTGATGAGTTCTAAATACTAGCTTTTTTAATTATTCGAGATGGATCAGCAAAGAGTTGCACAAAGTTGTAGAAGAAGTTGTTTGAAACAACTTTGCCGAAGGAAGAAATGTTCTATCTCTAATTACTCACTATTTATAATGATTTTCAATGAGTAACATAAGGTGACCCTTAAAAAATCGGATTTTCAACAGTAACTTGTTATTCATTGATTTTTCGTAAAAGTTTTGTTGTAGACACATTTTTTTAATTTTAATGGCGCATATTTCTGCCGGAACAACCAAGTGAATGATATTCATTGAAAATGTCATGTGTAAATGTTTATATTTAAAAATAGCCAGGGTTTATTTTAAAGCCTTGAGCAGTTCCAAGCCAAATGACGAATTGGATAAATTCGATCTTCTCCGATTTGCATGAAACTTTGCATAATTGTTTGTTATGTGCAATGATTCACACTTTTCCTAAACCTTGGCCATTTGAGATAGAGTGAAACATTCAAAATGGCGTCATTGAAATTTTTCAAAGATTTGTAGCGCAGAAACACCATTCTGATTGAAATGACGTCTGAGAAAAAGTTGTAGCGAAAAAAATGTCGATAGTTAGGGTCCAGGTGTGTCTTATTAAGAGGAAGTTAAACGCCTTAAGATCTATAAAACGTATACGAAGGTTCTTTTACTTCTGCAAAGTTTGTTTAAATATGTTCCATAAACTCAAATGAAGCTCCCCGAACGTCTTCCCAATCTATTTAACTTATCCCTTAGCCTTTCTAGAGTTCCTTCAATTTGGAGGAAGTTGTACGTATTGCTGCAAAGTTGCGGCAACTTCTACGGATATTTCATATACGATTTGTTTATAGCTTACACAAACTACAACTATATTTTTATCAGGATTGCTGAACTTGTAAATATGTCCTTTGTCGCATTCACTGTTCCCGAAAATTTAACTAAAATCTCATGGTGAATTTCTACAAAACTCCCTGAATTCCACGAAGTTCTCGAAAATCTAGCCGAGCTTCAATAAAGTTCCCTGAACTTCTACATAATTCCTTGCTCTTTCTATGAAGTTTTGCTGAACTACTTTAAATTCGCAGCCTTTCTATGAAGCTTTCAACACTTTTAAGAATATAGTTCATTTTCTGTTCCCTATAAAAATTTATTAAAGAAAGGTTTCCCAAACATGTAAAAGGTCCCCCACTTTTACGAAGTTTTCCAAAATCGAAGCTCTCCGAATTTACATTAGATTCTAAGTATTTCTACGATTTCACTTGAACATATCCAAAACCACTAAGGTTTACTCAACTCAACTCTCATCTCAATGAAGGTAAAGAAAAACCCCGCCAGAGAAAGATTTTTGAATACCCTCGAGGCCAAAAGAAGACAACCCTATACCCCTATCAGAGACTTGTTTGGTACCCGCGATCTCTGCTATATGCAGTCGAATTATGTCTTTCTGCAAATGTCTAGTATAAGAATTTAATTCATTTTCTTTTGTATCTCTTTATTAGTTTTTGTTTGTCTTGTCTTGTCGAGCTCCAGACGAATCTAGAACCACACTATAGTTCATACTGGCAACATCGCTAACATGGGACAACGAAACCCTAACCTCAAGCTCCTCCCTTTTTCCTATCCTTCGACAATGTACCCCTCTAACGTCTGGTAAGCCGCGAGTATTCGGCCCAACTCCTACTAGATATAGAATTAAGTGAATTTTGTTACATGAACAATGAATTATCGGCTCCGTAAAGCTAACGCGATTGAGCCTTACAAATAAACGAACTAGATGGAGAGAAGGTAAAGAAAAACTCTAAAGCATTAGCGAGCTTCCTCCAATTTTGTCAAATTTCTATAAAGTTTGATGAAGTTATACTAAATAATTTGCATTTTTACGAAGTTCGCTGAAGATTTGCAAAGTTCACTGGATTTCTATGAAGTTCGCTGAAGTTTTACAATAATAGCTGAACTCCTATAATATTAATTGCACTTATATAAAATCTCCAGAGCTTATACGCAGTTCCTGAAATTCAAAATACAGTTCAAAGGTGCTATGAAGTTGCTGATGATTTATGAGATTTCTTGAAGTTATAAAACATTCTCAACACTTTTAAAAAGTTTCCGAAAAATCGACGAAGTTCCCTGAAATCAGTCTTTTAAGTCATAGCTTCAACTATTTTGACGTAGGACTACGTCTGTGATTTCTATATGGGGGTACACTTTGAGAAAACCGAAAATGGGACATGTAACAAAGTTATGAAAGATTTTGAACGCTTATCACTCAGCTGCCCCTGGACCAATATCAATAATTTTATCACCAATCGATCAGATATATATCTACGAATCTGTTAAATTTAAGACTTTATTATTTTTCAAAATGCCACTATTGAACATTGCACGAATGTGCAACTGTTGCTATGATAGTTAATATTATCATCGGTTGCCTGCGAAAAGCGATTTCCCTAACACAGATTTCATAGTTAAATTCCATCCGGTCTCACCAAACGGGGGGCAGAGCTAGCTACCAAAGCTAGCCTCAACCGCTGATCGGATTCAGTTCCAATCACCGTGTGTGGTGGTGTGTCGGCATCAGCTGCAGTAGCAGCAGTGCTTTCAGCGCGTGGCGTTGAACATTGTTCTCCAGTAAACAACGAAAGGCTGCCTGCAAGCAGCGAGCTGCAGCCCACAAGAGCATCTATAGCAGGAGGAAGAAGCCGCACCGCTATTGATCGGAATCAGTAACTCTTCGTGAGTTAAGCGTCACCCTCATTCTAAACAACATACAGCTCTCCAGCCTCATCTGTGTTTAACACTCTAATAGTTCAGCATTGCTCAACCATCACGACAAAACGGTCCTTTTCAGGACCACCATCAATTTGTAAAAGAGTATTTTTGGACATTTGTCAAGGTCATCAATCAGATGGTTTTTTTTTCCCTTGATTTGTTTTCCGTCGATCTTGTTTTCCGTGCTGAGCACCAATGCTACCGACGCTAGGGAGGCAGCTCCCACACTTGGACCCTACCTATCGACCCATCAACTCATGAACCGGGTATCAACGGCTGTACGTCCCGGCGTGATCAGAGATGTTATGCCTCAGAACTGGGATTGAACCCTGGCCTGCTGGGGTGAAAGGTAATCACGCTTACCACTACGTCATCGGCGCCGCTTCAATCGGATGTCAATTCCCATATCAAGATAGAGCTGAACTTATGGCGTAACAGCTTTTGTAAATAATGACTTCTTTCGATGATGTCTTGAAAGTCAAGGCTTACCCACGCAAATCAACATCACCAACAGGTAGGGAAGACTTCCTCTAATGTTAGTTTGCGTGGGCGTGCCTTGAATTCCTAAAAATCATCGAAAAAAAAGTCATTGTTTACAAAAGCTTTTACGCCTAATTCCAGCTCTATCTAGATATGTTTAAATCTAACATACCATGTACTTTAAGGAAACACTGGCGGTGCAATTTCAAAAACCAAAGTCGGTAGCGGCATGAAAGTGGTCTGATTTTGATCCAGATATGATGGATTTTAATTCTTAATACGCCAATCGATAGTAAATTTTTTCTACGAAGTTGACTTTAAATTTTTTCAAAATGAAACTATTGAAAATTGCACGGATGTGCAACTGTTGCTATGATAATTAAAATTATAACCGATTGCCTGCGAAAAGCCATTTCCCTAACACAGATTTCAAAGTTGAATTCCATCCGGCTCACCAAACGGTGTTTATTCAATCACCGCGTGGTGAGTGGTGGTGTTCTCCAGTACACAATGAAAAGCTCCCCGCAAGCAGTGAGCTGCAACCCACATGAGTATCCATAGAAGGAGGAAAAAACCGCACCGCTACTGATCGGAATCAGTAGCTCTTCGTCAGTCGCTGTGGGCCATCTATGTCAAGCGCGTCATACTAAAGAGTATAAACAGAGAGAACTCCGCTCAAATTCCTATTCCTACACAAAACACAAGCTCCTGCTGCAGTTATCAAATAAGATTTATTAGATAAGACCACGTAGTCCTACGTCACCATTGCGTACAACCCCATAGGGCTGTCCCTTGTAGTTTTTTATTGATTCACGCCAACTTCTGTAACACGAGTACTCGTGCGTACAAAAGTGTGAGTTTTCCATTGCCATTTTGCTGCCGAGCTACCAATCGATCTGAAACCAACGAGCGTTCCTCAAAAAACTTGTTTTGAACTAAACAAACTAAACTAGCAATACAGTAAACCCCCCAAAATGCGGATAGTAGGGAAAATGTAACTGGAAACCACGTAAACGTTGGCCATACTACGTTGATTGGTTACAACATGGAATTCTCGAGATCCTGACCGGATAGAAAGTTACAGTC